ATCACCACCAACAACCATATATATGGTGGTAGTGGAGCCCTGGTGTGGGTCTTTGGGTTAATGCGCTAGACTGCAAGGTCATTTTGAACCACAAGATCAGTGGTTCAAGCTCACCAGCTGCTCCTCAAAAACCCTATACAGTGTCGCTATGGGTCAGTACCAACTTGATGGCACTTCACAACTATATATATATGCTAAATCACTTGTTAATGGTCCATTGCCTATCCATACTCCACAGAATTTCTTTTTAAGTTGCCTTTGAGTGGATTCTTACTTATGGTAACTCCATGGGTGTCTAATTAGAACAGCGTTTCGGTAACTGGAAATAGATTGACAGATTTTTCTACTGAGTGGACGCAAACCACCAATCTTTTGGTTAGCTGCCAAGCACACTAATTATTTGTACCATTTAGGGAATCTACCAAAGAAGGATGGCAACATTTTAAAGATAAGGAAATGAAAATTCCTAAAATTGAGTGATTTTCTCCAGGTTGAAACAGTAACACATGGCTGAGAGGAAACTGGGACCCTTCCCCCCTCACTCTGTTCCAGTACTCTTCCCAACACACCATACCCTCTGAAATGCCGCTTTTCTTAAGGATATCTCTGCTCACTTTGCTCCATGTGTTGATTTGTTTTGGCAGTGCCCAAGATGCAGTTTAAAGAGCAAATGTATACTGGCAATGAAAATGATGAGCAGATAGTTGCAGTCATCCACAGGAGTGGAGATGTACAGTACAGGTCATCAGTGAGATGCTACACACGGCAGGGATCAGCACAAGTGATGAGGGACTTTGAAGAACGCCCAAACACAGATGTGTCCACCATCACATTCTACCCTGGTAAGTATGAGCTTGACATTTTTAGTTGGAATTTGAGGAAGCCAAGTTTTTGTTGAGAAACATATATCATTAAATTCAACGAACTTGTGAGTTTTCTGTGTACCAAATGATAATAAAGTGAGAGATAGAGTAGCAGATTGAATGTACTTTCGACTTTTGGTTTATATCAACTCGTTGATTCGTTTCTTGTTTCGTCATAGTAGCCATTCAAGTTCAGCAGTTCAAACCCTCCAGCTGCTCCATGGAAACTATTTAGGGTCGCTGTGAGTTAGAACCAACTCAATGACACTTAACAACAATATTAGAGGCAAGAACTTAATTGTTTTTGGATCTATGATTTGCTTAACAAGTCAAAAGTTAATCATATTAAAAGTACAACTGTTGGTCTTTACTAATTCAGAGCGAAAGAACAAGAAGGAAACAAAGTGTCAAAGAAGAAACTAGTCGGCAGGACAAATAGTCTTCACAAACCATGGCCTCATTTACCCTGAAACCAGAAGAACTAGCTGGTGCCCTGGTACAACTGCCAATAATTCTAGTCAGGTAGACTCACCCATAAGCTTTAATTGGGATAATGGACATGTGTTTAAGCATAAAGGGTACCACCGAGTGATAATAATATTGAAGTTGGGTATTACTGTAATAGCTGACCATTTAGGTGACAGAACGTGTCCCATCATCCCAATACTTCTGGGATGTACAAAGTAGGGAAAATATATATTTGCTGCATATATACATTGGAGTGATGTGTTTGAAGCAAGTATTCTGCTACTTGTGTTTATATATATATATATTTGTAAATTTTGGTGAGTACAACTGTAACCCAAATAAATGGAAACCAAATATCATTTTACAATTACACATTAAAAATCCTAGCATTTTGAAGAAATGGTAAGTTAATTTTCATAACTTTCTTATATTCAACTGTCTATATATATTTTAATTTTAAAAGCAATTAGTATAAAGTCATGTATTAATAAAGAAAAATATAAATTCATTGAAATGCTAAGGAATTTACACAAATTAACTCTAATTTCCTAACCTTTGTTGCTGTCTTGCCTGCAATTGTAATCCTCTAACACCTTCTGTTTAGGTGTGTTAAGTGCATTAAGCATTAAGTCAATACGAGCTCATAGCAATCTTGTGTAGGGCTTCCAATGAGTGGCTGATGGGTTTGAACCACCAACATTGTGGTTAGCACTCCAGTGCTTATCCGATAGCACTCCACCAAGACTCCAAATATTAGTTGTTGTTAAGGGCCGTTGAGTTGATTCTGACCCATAGCAACCCTGTATAGGGTTTCTGAGGAGCAGCTGGTGAGCTTGAACCACCAACCTTGCAGTTCAAACGGCTTTGCAGTCTGGTGCATTAACCCACAGCACCACACCAGGACTCCAAATCTTAGTAGATCACTAGAAATTGTCAATGTGTCCAGAGAGATTTGAAAAAAATTAAATATAGAAATAAACTAAAGTATTAAAAATTTAATCAATTTAAGTGTAATATTTTGTAAAAGGACAGCAATAATAGTTGTACAACATGAAGAATATAATGAATATTTCTGAAGTATGCACATAGAAATTGCTGAATTGGTAAATGCTTTGTTTTATATATTATCACCACAATAAAAATACTTATAATTTTTATTTTAAAAATGTTTATTTGCTTACAACAAAATTTACTAATTTAATGTACAGTTTGATAAATTTGAGTAATTGCATACAATCTTGTAACCAATGCCACAATTACAATTATAATTCCTTGCCATAAAAAATTTTCTCCTTCTTTACAGTTGGCCCCTCCTCTCATATCTGACCCCAGGAATTCATTGATTTTCTTATTGTACTTTAGTAAAACATTTAATTTCTATATATCTTTGTAGTTTTTTTCATAAAATATTTATCTCACTTCCTATAAATAACGTAAACACACACAGAGAACTTTATAAAGACACAAAGTCAGAGACGTAAGTAAACATATGAATCAGATACACCCATAAGTATCTTCAAATTCACAATTCTCAATAATTACAGTTATATGTTTTTTGGACTACGGGAAGTGATTCTTACTATTATTATTCCAGGTGAGACCGAAAAGCCCTGTATCCTTGAGCTGATGGATGATGAATTCTATGAGGAGGTAGAGGAACTCCGTCTGGTTCTAGGCACTCCACAAAGCAACTCTCCATTTGGGGCTGCAATTGGTGAACAAAATGAAACTTTGATAAGGATCCGAGATGATGCTGACAGTAAGAAGTCATTTATGATGCTCAACTATGAATTGGGAACTGAAATCAATTTGTGTGAATATTTGAGGAGGCTGTCACAGTTGAATTGCAGTCCCTGGTATGGTGCTATTGTCCTTCTAAAGAATTGGGAAGGCATGATGCACTTACCTCCTGCAAAAGAAAGATCAGAGACTTAGGGAGATGAAAGATAGGTTTCTTAAGCATAGATATTCTTACGGAGATGTAAGCAGGGGGAGCCCTGAATACAATTGGACTTCTTCTTTATATATCTTTTGTCAGGGGATTGGACAAGTACCCAAGGAGCCAATTCCAGGAACTGGCCCATACATGGTTTCCTGAGTTTTGTCTTTCAGGTTTCAGTTTATTATTAACTAACTTTATTTCTTCTTAGTTTCCTCCCTCCCCGACCCCTCTTATCAGAAATTACTCATTGCTGAGGTTGGTTTGTTTCCTGCTGAAACAGGCCATTCCTAGAGTGTGTGTTCTAACTACCTAACATGACAAGAGGTTTTGAAGCAGTTTAGAAGTAGGAAAAGCTAAGGCAAATGAGGAGGAAGATTATCACCATTAAAGTCAATAAAGTTTATGTAAAATATGGCTTATGTTCAAAGTTTGACTGAAACCCAAACATTAAGTTCCTTTCTCTCCCCACCTTTAATGTCAACAGTTTCTTCCTTACCTTCTCTCTCTGCTTTGAGTGGTCTGCTTTTGTAAAATGTTTCCCATGTAGGAACAACCCAAAGTACATGCTCTCAGGGAGCTAGTCCCATACCAAGACAGAAGCTGGACTGTTCATGCTTGGTTTCCCCTAACATACACACCAAGTATAGTGAACAAGGGAAGCAAATAGTGAATTGCTAAATTGACTCCTCCCACATGAAAGGAGACATCAGAAATAGAAAGCATCAGAAATACAATACTAAGAATTGTTATTTGTCTGTGTTTCCTACAATTTTAGAGACTGTTATTAAATTTGGGGAAAATAAATTTAGTGTCAGTGAACCCAGAGAAGCAGGACAATCGGTGATTATAAAAATTCCAGTGGTTCGCCAAGGAGACACTTCAAAAGTTTCCATCGTAAGAGTCCACACCAAGGACGGATCAGCCACTTCTGGAGAGGACTACCACCCTGTGTCAGAAGGTAATGGGGCCCCCAGGTGGATTTTGCTAGCACCACATCAAACTAAAATAAAAGTAAACATACTTCTTTTATCTCCATCAAAAAGCAAAAGCAAAGGAATTTATTGCTCAGATTTTCTATTTTTACCTGAAGTATGCAAGTGTGCATTAAAGATTTGGCAATTTTAAAGTAAACGTGAAGTGAACTGGGTTTTGTTTTTTGTTTTTATCCTTGTTTTTTTGGGAAAAACAGTTTAGTGGATTGTTTTTTCTGCCCCCTAACCCTGAGGAGTTACCTTTGCCCTCCTTTTGGAAAAGCAATCTGGAGGCTTGTGGGTGTGGGGGAGTTCCCTGGTTACTTTCTACCCCAGAGGGTTTGTTACTTTTGCCCAAGGGATTGGAATTTCCTGGGTAAACTGTAAACAACTTGTTGGTTTGATTCTTCTGCCTGGTAATTAGCAAGACTTGAGTTGATTGTCTCAAGGGTAATTGAAGATTACTTGAACTCTGGTTTGGTGGAGGATGCCCTACCTTGTAACTAACAAGAATTGGAATATGTAAACCATTGAACTGTAGAGTGATGTGGCGCTGTAGAGCAGCCCTGGACTGAGAATCACTTGGTCAGCAGTTCAAACCCATCAGCTGCTCCTCAGAAACCCTATGAGTCAGAACCAACTCAACAGCACTTAACAAGGAAAACCTGGAAGAAACAGAGATGCTGGCTGAGAGCTGAGCTGTCAATGCAACAGCCACATAGGAGTCCAGTGGTCCTGAAGCTGGCTCTGAGCTGGGCCACTTAGCAGTGAAGAGAGTGACAACAGAGCACAGCTAGGATCCCTGAGCAAGCTGCTACCCTGGCTTCACAGTGACCCCCAGAGAGCTGATTGCAGAGTTCTTTGTGGCCACTTCAAGGAAGCCTGCAGATTAAAAGTGCTATGGGGTGAGTGGCTAGTGTCAGAATTTATGGAGAAGTGGGGAGGCAGAGATATAACTGGCCCCATCTCTTAGGTGGCCACCGTAGGTTAAGTATCTCATCTGATGTGGCTCCATAGGGTAAGCACTGGAGTGCTAATCACAAGATCAGAAATTCAAACCCACCACCTGTTTTCTGAAAACTCTACACAGGGTAGTTGTGAGTTGGAACCGACTCGACAACACTCAAGAGCAAACACAACAATCTCATAGGAACCAGCTTTGTGCTGATTCAGATTCTCATCTTCTATGAATTTAGACAATTTCATGGATTGCAACACAATGTGCCGGTTAACTTTCTGTTTTGAGTCTCCTTAAACTTTCAATGAGTTTTACTTACGTATGGCAGTAGGATATTAAATTCAAATTTTGATAAAATGTGCGTGATAGTCTGTTTTAGAGTACAGAAAACCAGCAATCTGCAACTTCCAGGTACAAACATTTGGGTTAAAAAAAACAAAAAATCAAACCTATTGTCATCCAGTTCATTCCTACTCACAGTGATGCTATATAGGGTTTCTGAGGTTGTAAATCTTTACCAGAGCAGAAAGTCTTGACAGGATAGTAAAATGGTAAAATGACAACCACAGAGACCATGAATTTTCTGGGACTTGTGTTATTTGTAGATAAGTCGGCTTCAACACATGGCAACCCCATGAGCAATAGACCCCCAGAGCAATAGAAAAAAACACAGCTCAGTCCTGCGCATCTTCATGGCTGTTAGTGTGTCTGAATCCACTGCTGTGACCACCATGTATTTTGAGTACCTTCCAATCTGAAAAGCTCATCTTTCAGCACTATGTCAGGCCATATTCTGCTGCTATTGTAGGTTTCTCAACTGATTTTCAGAAGTGAATTTCTTCTGAGTCTGTCTTAGTTTGGAAGTTCTGCTGAAACCTGTCGTTTCATTGGTGACCCTGCTGGTACCTGAAATACTATTGGCATAGCTTCCAAGCATCACAGCAACATGCAATTCCCCACAATGCAGCAGACTGACAGGTAGTGGTTTGGGAACTCAGGAGCAGTTTTATAGGGGCATTTCACCTGTCCTTCATCCCTCTCTGTATTTCCTTTTTTTAAAAAAAGCATTTCATTATTCACTTTTATGAATAACTAGAATAAACCAATTCTTTTCTCTGTCTGTAGATTATTTACTTAAATATTAAATATAAACTGATGTCCAAAATTTAGCTTGTGGTTATCTGGACTTATAATTATCCACTTTGTTTCCAGTACCCTGTCTCTCTACCAACAATCATTTATCCTTCAGTACCCTAGCTAAGGAGCTCTGATAGCGTAGTGGTTACGAATCGGGCTGCGAACCTTAAGGTCAGCGGTTCGAAACTACCAGCTGCTCCGTGGGAGAAAGATGAGGCATTCTACTCCCGTAAAGATTTACACCCTCGGAAACCCTGTACAGGGTCGCTATGGGTCGGAACCGACTCGACAGCACATAACAACAACAACAACAACCCTAGACCTTCAGGAACTCTTGTTAATCGTCTAACTTCAGAACCAAAATCATTAAAAAGCAACCAATAGGATATAACTGAATCTGTAACTACATTAACAAGACCGGAGGAAAACATAGCATTTTCTACAAAGGAGATTGTATTTTCTTAGCATATACAGTAAAGGTTTGAAAAACTATTATAGAGTTTCAAAGTCATCCTCAGATTTTTATACAAAGTATTGATGATATATTTAAAATAAATCACATATAATCAAAAAGGAGAGAAAATAAAATTAATGACTAAATTAGAAAATCTAAAATGTGTCATTTCTATGGTAAGCAGATTTTACACAAAGGAAAGGAGTCCTATGGGTTAATGTGCTGGACTGCAAGGTATGTTTGAACCACAAGATCAGTGGTGCAAACTCACCAGACAGTCCTCAGAATTCCTATAGAGGGTCACTGTGAGATGGAACTGATTCAACAGCAACACAAATGGAAAGTTTGTTCTAGTGATCTAAAACTAAATATTGGCAATATGACCTTTGGTGTATCATTTATTTTAAGACAGAAACAAAATTGTGGAGCACTGTGGGACTGCAGGATAATACACTGGACCACAAAGTTGGATTGAATCACAAGGTCAGTGGTTCAAACTTACCAGGCGCTCCTAGGAGATCCTATACAGGGTCTCTATGAGTTGGAACCGACTCGATGGCACTTAACAACAACAACAGTGGACTGGTGGGGACAGTCAGAATTCAGTGATAGAATTCTCACCCTCAATTTGGGAGACTCAGGTTCAATTCCCAACCAGTGCACCTCACAGGCAGACACCATGAACAGGCTACAATGTGTTTCCAGACTAAGACAAACTAGGAAAGCTGCCTGCCGATCTGCTTACCAAAGTCAATCAATAGTCCCATTGGCAACAATCGTGAGTTCGGTGCAGGATTGATGAATACAGTGCTCCAAAATTAAACTTAGAATAATGGAAAATGTTTTATAAAAAGTCTGACAGATAAGGAGATAACCTAACAAGTGTACTGTGAGAAAGGAATCATTTGAATATTTCGTATAAATTTTTTTTTTTAACTTTAGAAATTTGACTTTAAAAGAATAGATGTTCCAAGTATGTGAAGACTTCCAGAACTCAAGCAAGCCATGAAGAGAGCTGGATGACAGTGGGCTAGGTTGCACATTCAGGCTCATGAGAGAGCTCGGATGGCAGTGAGCTAGGTTGCAGATTCAGGCTCCAAGAGGAGAACTGGGGTGACAGTGAGCTAGGTCTCTCCTATTCGGGCTCCTTGAAGAGAAGGTGCTCAGGTCTTAGCCAGCTTATTGCTGTCAGACAGGAAGGTGCAAAACAAGTCAAAGCCCTGTAAGGAGCTCTGGTAGCGTAGTGGTTATGAATTGGGCTGCTAATCTCAAAGTCAGCAGTTCGAAACTACCAGCTGTTACATGGGAGAAAGATGAGGCTTTCTGTTCCTGTAAAGATTTACAGCCTCGGAAACCCTATACAGGGTCACTGTGAATCAAGACACATAACAACATTGTTCCTTGAGATGCCCCAGATTTTCAAAGGTTAGAAACTAATTTTTAGCATAATGTCACACAAGCCTAATGGGTGGGTGAAATGTCAACTATTTGCATCATATGGAATAAAGGAATGACAAGCTCTCTCAAGGTATGAGAAATGTCATGATTCATTGACTCAAAGAACATTTCAAATATAAACAAAACTAATTTTAAAGAAATGACTGACTTAATAACTCAATTCTAAAGAAAAATGATTTCATAACTGATCATTAGAAACTAGAAGTAGAAAACAAAAAATGATTCCTTTTAAAGGATTTATTATTTAGATTTATGATAATTAAGCTGCAATTACATCAGAAGGCAGCATCCTTTAACTAAAATAATTATGCATTATATCCTTTTTCTCTTCTCTCCTGGACCAGTTTCTCAAAAGCTGTAATAAAACCAACAAAACCATTTATCCAAGTTCAGCAGTATGGGCAACTGCTTATCATGAGCACAGTAAAGTCAATTAATTTTTATCAATTTAAAATTTTGAAAATGAAGGTTAAAAAAGGATTCTTGTTATTGTGTTAAATTTTCATTATAATAAAGTAATTCTTTTTAGTGTGGAAATACAAGGATGGGGAAAACATCACTCACATTTGTATAAGTTTTCTGAATTTCCAAGAAAAACAACAAAATAGGAGTGTTGTTTTTTTTTAACATGACATAATACACACATAACCCAACAACTTATTTACACAAGTGCCTAATGTCAATACCATTCATACTCAATACTACTTGTGCCCCATTATTTTAGCCTTAAGGAGAATGAGAGGTGAATTTGTTAGGTTTTGTCCCAGAATACAACAGTTGATTATCCATCCTATAACTCAACATTATTTTTCAAACTGTGGGTCAACCATTCAATTTAGTAGCAATGATTAGAATTTTCATTCCAATACAATGCTGTTGTTAGGTGCTGTCCAGTCAGTTCTGACTCACAGTGACACTATATGCAACAAGATGAAACACTGCCCAGTCCTGGGCATTGTGTCTGAGCCCATTGCCGTCATTGTGCCAGTCCTTCTCATGGAAGAACTTCTTCTTTTTTGCTGACCCTTTACTTTGTCAAGCATGATGTCCTTCTGCAGGGGCTGGTACCTCCTGATAATTGTCTTAAGTACTAGAGGTGATGTCTCACCATCCTTACCTCTACAGAGCATTATTTGTACTTCTTCCAAAACAGGCTTGTTCATTTTTCTGGCAGCCTATGGCATACTTATTTTTTGCCATCACCATCATTCAAAGATGCCAGTTCTTCCTCAGTCGTCTGTATTCATTGTCCAGATTTCATATACATATGAGACAATTGAAAATGCTATGTTTTAGGTCTGGTGCATCTTAGTCTTCAAAGTGATAGCTTTCTGTTTAAATACTTTAAAGAGATCATTTGCATTACCCAGTGCAATACGTCTCTTGATTTCCTGGCTGCTGCTTCTCTAGATGTTAATAGTGGGTCCATGTAATATGAATTCCTAGACAACTTCAATCTTTTCTTCATTTATCATGAAGTGGCTCTGTACATTCTTTCCATCTTCTTTCTATGCTTCTTGTGTCATTCAGTATTTTGCTCATGTTGTTAAGTGCTGGTGAGTCAGTTTCAACTCATAGTGATCCTGTATAGGGTTTCCAAGGAGTGACTGATGGGTTTGAACTGCCAACTTGGCAATGAACAGTCCAGAGCTTATCCTACAGAGACACAACAAGACTGCATTTTGTCCAGATAATCTTTCAATATTGCAACCTGAGGCTTGAATTCTTTTTCTTCAATTAGTTCAGCTTGAGGAAAGCTGAGAGTGTTCTTTCCTTTCGGTCTTTGCACATTTCATTATAGTACTTGACTTTGTCTTCTCAAACTGCCCTTTGAAATTTTCTGTCGTTTTTTTGCTACATCATTTCTTCCAGAATATTTATCTTCCCTACATTCAAGAGAAAGTGTCAGAGTCTCTACTGACATCCATTTTGGTTTTTTCTTTTTTTCCTAAGAAACAAATTTTCAACCTTTTACTTTCTCCATATATTATGTTCTTGAAGTCATCATCCCACAATTCCACTGGTCTTCCATCAGTAGTATGCAATGCATCAAATGTGTTCTTGATATGATTCCTAAATTCAGGTGGGATATACTCAAGGTCATATTTGGCTCTCATGGACTTGTTTTTATTTTCTTCACCTTCAACTTAACCTTGCATGTGAGCATTTTGTCTGGTCCAACATTGGTCCCTGGCCTTGTATTGACAGAGGATATTGAGCTTCCCCATGGTCTCTTTTCACAAAGGCCGTCAATTTGATTCCTGTGTATTCCATCAAGTGAGGTCCACATGTATAGTCACCATTTATGTTGTTTCTGAAAATTAGTATCAGTGATGAATAAATCCTTGGTCTTTCAAAATTCTACCATTTGATCTGATACTGTCCTATCACCAAGGTCTTATTTTCTAACTACTGATCCTTCTTCCTTGTTTGCAACATTTTCATTCTAATCACCAGTAATCAGCAATGCATCTTGATTGCATGTTTGATCAAATTCAGACTGAAGAAATTGGTAAAAATTATAAATTTCTTCATCTTTGCTATTAGTGGTTAGTTTATAAATTTGAATAATAGTCATATTAACTAGTCTTCCTTTTATGCATATGGACTGTTGTACTTCAGGAAAGATCTTGAAATTTGTTCTTTTTGATAAGTGGCATACCTATCATCTTCAGTTTTCAATCCCAGCATAGTAAACCACGAAGTCCCAGTGTTTACTATAAAATAATCTCTAGACCACAAGGTCAGTTTGAACTGCAAGGTTGGCAGTTCAAACTCACGAGCGCTCCTCAGAAACAGGGTTGCTATGAGTCGGAAATGACTTGATGGTACTTAACAACAAAATAGTAAACCATATGATTGTCAGACTCAAAAAAATTGCCAATACTGGGTCCATTTTAGCTCTCTAATGTCTAAGACTCCTAGTGTGGTATTGTGGGCTAATGCATCAGACATCAAAGTCGTTTGAACTGCAGGGTCGGTGGTTCAAGCTCACCAGCTGCTCGGAAACCCTATACAGGGTCCCTATGAGTCAGAATCGACTTGACCGCTCTTAACAACAACAACAAATGTCTAGGAACCACCTTGTGGTTCTGTGGGATAAGTACTGGACTGCAAATCACAAAGTCCACTAGCTGCTTTGCAGGAGAAAGATGAGGCTTTCTGCTTCTGCAAAGATTTACAACCTTGGAAACCATATATAGGGTCACTGTGAGTCAGAACTGATAACAACAACAATTCCTAGGATATTTAAGCGTAGTGGTTACGAATCGGGCTGCGAACCTTAAGGTCAGCGGTTCGAAACTACCAGCTGCTCCGCGGGAGAAAGATGAGGCTTTCTACTCCCGTAAAGATTTACACCCTCGGAAACCCTGTACAGGGTCGCTATGGGTCGGAACCGACTCGACGGCACTTAACAACAACTTAACAACATTCTATGTTTTACAACGTCTAATTAATTTTCCCAGGTTCATGCCTCATATATTCCACATTCCAATTTTGAATGGATGTCTACAACTGTTTCTTCTCCTCTTGAGTAGTGCTGCATCAGCAAATGAAGCTTCTGAAAGCTTTGCTCCATCCACTTCAAGGTCGACTCTACTTTAAGGAGGCAGCTCTTCCCTAGTCTCACTTTGAGTGCGCGTCTAACCGGAGATTTTCTCTGGACAATTTTTTTTTTGTTAAAATCGATCACCAAGTCCTTCTTCCTAGTCTGTTTTTGTCTGGAAGTTTCACTGAAACCTCTCTACTCTGGGTGACTCTGCTAATATTTGAAATGCCGGTGACATAGCTTCCAGCATGGGGAGTACAGTGGCTCTGTAAGATAAGCACTAGACTGCAAACCACAAGGTCTGCATTTCAATTCCACCAGCTCTTCAGAAGAAAGATGAGACTTTCTGCTCCCACAAAGACTTACAGCCTGAGAAGCCCTATACAGGGTTACTGAGTTGAAACCAACTCGACAGCATTTAACAACAATAAACTTCCTGCTTCACAGCAACATTGGAGTATAATGGTGGTAGTGTGGTGTGCCATGGAGTCGATTCCGACTCATAGTGACCCTAAATCTTTACGGGAGCAGAAAGCCTCATCTTTCTCCCACCAAACGGCTGGTAGTTTTGAACTGCCGACCTTGTGGTTACCAGCCCGACTCATAACCACCACACTACCAGAGCTCCTTGTAATAGCCATAGTAAGTATAAATGTTTGTTAAACATCTGATTTCATTTTATTCACACTTACACAAATATTCATATACAGAGATATATTGGCCACAATGTAAAACGTATTTCTCATTGTAGATCACAGTCAAAAAAACTTGAGAAAAATCTCTCACATTCATATGTTAACTATTTAAATCTGTGATTTGGCATTTATAGAAATTGAGTTTAAAGAAGGAGAAACCCAGCACTTTGTTGAAATTGAAGTCATCTTCGATGGGGTGAGAGAAATGAGAGAGGCCTTCACCGTTCACCTGAAACCTGATGAAAACATGATCGCTGAGACACAAGTAAGTAATAAAATGGCTGATAAATTTATAGCAAAAGGTTAATGTACACCTTATCAGAGAAAGTGCATATTAATAACCACATGGTGTAAAATGATGAGCCTTACAAGAAAAGGATGGCCTTTTCATTTCCTAAATAAGTTACCTCCTTTGGAAAATTGTCATTTGCAATAAATCAAGGACCAGAGCCACTGAGTCCCATATCAACCCACTTACATGCCCCAATTAATCAGTAATGATTGAATTTGAAATTAACCTCAGCTGAGAAGCATATTGTAACTCAATGCGAGACTATTTAATTCATGGTGTGGCGCTGTGGGATAATGTGTCACACTGCAAAGTCATTTGAACTGCAAGGTTGGTGGTTCAGGCTCTCCTTGGAAACCCTATACAGGATCGCTATGGGTCAGAATTGACTCGACGGCACTTAACAACAACACTTAACTATACCAAGAAGCTCTGATAGTGTAGTGATTAAGAGGCGGCTGCTAACCTCAAGTCAGCAGTTGGAAACTATCAGCTGTTCTGAAGGAGAAAGATGAGGCTTTCTGTTTCTGTAAAGATTGTTGTTGTTGTTAAGTGCCATCTAGTCAGTTCCGACCCATAGCGACCCTGTACAGGGTTTCCGAGGGTATAAATCTTTATGGGAGTAGAAAGCCTCATCTTTCTCCCGCGGAGCGGCTGGTAGTTTTGAACTGCTGACCTTAACCTTAAATATTACAGACTCAGAAACCCTATACAGGGTCGTTATGAGTCGGAACTGACTCCACGGCACGTAACCACCAGCACCATTTACTATACCAGGTGCTGGGAGTGCCGTGGTTCTATAGGATAAACACTGGACTGTGAACCAAAATGTTGGCAGTTTGAGCCTACCAGCTGCTCCTTGGAAACCCTATACAGGGTCTTTATGAGTCAGAACTGACTCAACAGCACTTAACAGCATCAACAACATATTGCTTATCAAGTCAGCCCAACTTATGGCAACCCTATGTGTATGAGAATAAACAGTGATTTCCAGGATCTTTTAAAGGGCTGATCTTTTAGAAGTAGTTCACCAGGTCTTTCTTCCCAGGTGCCTGTGTGTAAATTTGATCCACAAACCTTTTAGTTATCAGCCAAGGATGTTCACTATTTGCACCACACAGGGACTCCTAATTCACACCAACCAAACCTAAAATTCATGCTACCGCTTATTAAAATATATATTCTAATCTCACCCTCAAAATTCCTACCTGCTTTATGAAAATTTGATGTCCAGCACTCTCGGGGACCAAAAAGTTGTAGACTCATACAGCTTTTTCCCATTGCTTGATTTATACTGCATTATTAACTAGATTTTCTTTAAGATAACCATAATTGTCTCATAATTTTGACCTTTGTATCTAAAAGAATTTTACAAATTATATGTCATCTTAGGGACAGACCAATTTTTATAATATTTGTGCTTACATTTATTATTTGTTCCAGTATTAGTGTATGGTTACATTGGAGATCTTTTTTCTGAAAAGTTTATATCTGTTTGTAATCTTGACTATTTGATGGTATTTCTGCTTCAGTGGCTTACCTGCTTTCATGCCATGTTCAAAGTTTGGAATGTTTAAGCAGACATCCTTATTAAGTATATTTTTATAAGTCTTGATCATTGACAGGTGAAATATTTTACTACTATTTTTATGAAATAGTGTGTTAACCTCTTTGGGGTGAAAGGAGTAGAGGTTTATGCAAATGACCTCAAGAGCTAAAGACGGTTTTCAGAATACACTTGTAAGTATAGGTTTGGAAGCTGACATATACAACTGACCCGTGAACAACATTAGGACTAGGGGCACCAACCCAATCCTGCTCCTGCACAGTCAAAAATCTGCATGTAAGTTTTGACTTCCCCAGAACTTAACCACTAATAGTGTACTGTTGACTGGAAGCCTTACCAATAACACAGATATTGATTAACACATAGTTTGTATGCTATGTGCATATGCTGCACCCACATAAAAGCTACAATTTCAATAGGGGATACAAAACAAAGGAATTTTGCAAACAACAGTGCATGGTTTTCATACCTGCTGTTGAAGCTGCAGAAACGACTTCAAGTATTTCCTTTTCCTTTTTTAAATGGTCTTTAGGTTGGATCCATTGATCTTGAAACAGTGGCCAACTGTAGCTACAGACCTCAATCCACAGTACATGCCAAGCAATTCAAGTTTTTCTTGTAATGCCATGACTTTTCATCTTCTTGGAAGCAATTCCAGTGTCACCGGTGGCACTTTTTACAGGCCCCATAGTGTAGTCAAGGTTTATAGTATTGCTCTGAGTCTCATGAAAAGTCTGTGAGAACCATGACAGCCTTCTTTTTACTTTGATATACAATTTACTGGGGAGATAAACCGCTCATCCAGAGATGACTAAGTGTCACACAGCACTTTTTAGAAACCCACATATAAGTGGACAAACACAGTTTAAATCCACACTGTTCAAGGGTCAACTCTAGTTGTAAGATCACTCCAGAACCAAGGCAAATTTACCAACAGTGATCTTATCCCATCAGCAAAAACTGTTCATAGACTCCACCACCCCCATATGGGACTCAGCCTTTCCTCTACCTGTGCCTCAGGCTGCTCTTTCTGGCCTCAGCTTTGCTTATTGATACCATTGCAACTTCCACGCTATCCAGAGCCTCTATAATCTGTTTTCTCCTTGGATATCTGTCTTTAGCTTTCCTGTCCCATAAACGATTTGACATTTTTTTTTCCCTTTTAGTTGTGATGATGTTGTTGTTGTTGTTAAGTGCCATCGAGTCGGGTCCGACCCATAGCG